AAATACCATGTGTATTTCGTGCTTACTTACTACGGTCCTACACATTGCACCATTTTGTTTGCGTTTTATTAGTAGTGGATATGAGTCGCATATCGCGGAATTCGTGGTAGCTTACGTCACGATCAGCAGCAATTTAAACCCGCTGGCGATCATCGTTGCGGTCTGCGTGCTGCAGGACGATATTCGAGAAGCCGCTCTTGCTTTGTTCCCGCAGCGTCTGCAGCTGTTGCTGACGAAGTGGATGCCAAGTGTGTGGGCTATGCCTAGTACTAGTATTCAGGCGATTAGCGCAAGTAAGCATTTAAGACAAAACAAAATACAGAACACTTTTCGCAATCATATTCACTGAAAGCCGTCGAGCTTGAAAACTGGTCCAAGTGACAGCAGATGCCAAAAGCGGGCAGAACTGTCGACAGCTCCTTCTTCTGAAGATCGCTTATAATGTACCACTGCCACTCGATCATCGAACAGAATGAATGATCTGTAGAAAGCTGGTTGCTCTATTGGCGAAGTAAAACCCTCGATCTCCTGCAAGTCAGCAGTGCTACTTCTCTCTGCGTCAAACCTTAGGCATCTTTTTCCCACTGAAAACATATACAAGAATGACGTAATGAGTACCTGAATGTCAGTGCGACAAAATGAATAATTTGGGTTTGATGGATAGAGCAAGTAACTCACTTCATCTACTATTGGTCAATTTCTTAACCACCGGTGCACTGCTTGCACTACTGGTCAATTTCTTAACTACCGGTGCACTGCTTGCCAAAACTGGCCTTCATCCTCCCTTTCCAATGCCGAACGCTGGCAGTTCAAATAAATATCTGGGAAATAATGTAGCACTTCAAGTGAGTTGCTTATTCCTTTTCATCCTCTCAGATGCAGGTTCGACTCTACCAGCAAGATTTCAGTCTGCTGCTATCTATCTCTATTACTCTGATCAGCCACATAGATGCAATTAATGCACTAAGTCTAGTGCGGTACCAGGATATCAAAGGTTTCATAATTTGGTAAAATGTTAATTTTATCTCATCCTAATAGTTTGTTATGGATCATGCTTCAAACTGAAAGTAACTTTTGACCTGTTATTTCCCACTGCGCTTGGTAAAGACTGGATTGGAGCAGTGACGGTGATTGCCGGTGCTGCTGTTGTTGTTGTTATTGAGTGATTTGGAGATTCCGCGGCTTTTTCCATATTCTCAAGCAACAGTGTCATTGTCACGTAAGTCACTTTCCGTGAAGCTGCTTTCACGTAGCAGTGCAATAAGTCGCTGCAGCTGCGCCACTTTTTCCTTTGCTAATTCTGTTTCATTGTCCTGAAAAATGCTTTGTTAAGCAGAGCTTTAAAATAAAAGATTTCTCTTTCATGTTTTTAACTTTTCCCCGGCTAAATTTTGTTTACTCCTTGCGCTGTTCTAGCGCATTTTTTATGCACGAATATCTGTGAAAAACCGACAACAGCTGAGAAATATACGCCGATTCCTGTTACTACTAGCATGCGGTTAAAGCATGTTAATAGTAACAGAAATCTCGCGCGATGTGCTGCTTTCTTTCGATTACTCCACTTTACTCAGTATGAAATTGCGAGCCTGCGCAATTAGAAACTCATCTTCGGTCTGCTGGGATTTGTAAGAAACGTCAGTGTTCACTAATGCCGGTAGATTTTTATTCTTTCTCTAGAAATGGGCCCTTTCGTTGTATATTTTTTGCTATTCGTTAACATCACAAAATGACCTGATAATTTCAGATTAATTTCAGATTCTAATGGATTTTTATCATTTTTTCATACT